CTATATTTTTAAAATAAATTTATGCTACTCATACCCTCGCTCATTCAACAACTTATTGAGTGACATATATTTCATGTAATATGATTTTCATAGATTTTTATTTATTGAATTATTTAATGAAGGAAAAACGTGTTATATGAAAATTACTAAATTGTTGGTAGACATGTCTGTGATCTGAGAATAATTTGGAAAGTCCATACAACACATTGTCCAACTATCTATTAGCGACAACTTAGTATCATGTCCTATATATTTCAAAGCAAGGAACTTCAGATTTATTACCAACGGTGTAGTAAAAACGAATGCTCTCTATTGAGAAAATTTTGAAGGACATACTAAACTCTATGAGAGACATTTTCTTTCATCCTTAACGTTGATTATGTATGTATCATGAGAAACTATTCTAATATTCAAATATATGGTTTCATCAATTAAGTAATGAATGACAATTTGTTATATCTATTTCTTTTTTCATTCAATAATTATATGTAATAGTTATATTATATTTTTGTTTTCTTTTTATGGGGTCTAAACACATTATGAATAGTTGGATTACTTTCAAAAATGTTATGTGAATAACTAAGGTAGAAAACAATCATTTCATACATTTCAAATAATCTATTATATCCATTATTATATACCATATTACTCAACAAAATTCTTCCGACCAACGGGTCGGGCCTGTGCTAGTGATGTTAATGACAAAACTGACTACCTCTATGCTTAGTATTGGTACTAAGTCCCTGAAATAAGTAATTACAAGTTTATGGATTTTATTTTCATATTTTAGGTTTTTTAACATTGTGAACTAAATATGTTTATTCATAAAAACACATGTTTTCATTTTAAGTTTTCACGTTTTCGTAACATGGTGCTAGTACTTTTTTCGTTAACATGGTGCTAACACTAGTTCCAATCAATACAAACATTTTATTTGGATGACTTTTTACTTGAATGAATTGAGCATAATTAATAAGAGAAAATGCTACTTAGAGGCACACTCATCATTAATTAAAAGTGGGGAAAGGTAAAATTCGCGTGTCATGTGCTTTTAATTTGGTCAAATATTGCATTAACTAGCTTATTACCCGGCCCGTTGGCCGGATTACTGTATGTTACCCACTTGTGGAATGGGAGAGAAAGCAAGTGAGAGTGAAGGGATTGAGATTCCACTTGATTAGGACCGACCCACTAATCCGATTCTTCACGACCCGCCCCAACCTAAAGGGTCAGAAAGAGTCAATAAGAAAATACGAACGGAGAGGATTAGTCATATATCTTGACTCTTCAGAAGTGGGTCAAACAGGATCAAGGTTGGGTGAGGGCAATTTTTAGTTCTAAGCAGAGTTCTGGGTTGAATAACTTTACTTAGACCTAAAAATGGGTGCTGATGCAGACTGTAGTTTTTATTATACCATCATTAATCATCATTGAATTAGTCCTGGGCATCCCTCCCCGTTGTCGATCTGAATTCTAATGATGGCTTCATTTATTGCACCAGCCATATCAGCGAGTTGTCATCTCGAGCATGATTTGCCTATGTACAAATGATACAATTAGAGTATGAAACTAAATTCAAAGAAAAGTAAAAGAGAATTCTATCACATGCCAATAAATACACACATAATAGTTGAAGCTATGTGAAAGTCATTACTCGCACATCAATTCTCAAAAATTACAAACTAAACAATGGCTAGAATGGCACTGAAACTACCAAGAATCATGGACGAAACAACTTGTCAAATTAAACAATCCTTATACTGAAACTACCTTCTAACTTGAAATAAGACATGATCACAATTCATAGCACTCTTATCACTATGAATTGGTTGCAGCTCGTCCTTATCACTGCCTCCCAAGCTCAATTCAAACTGAATAGAGACCGTTATGTAAGATAATCTTATCCTTACTGATCATAATTCCTTTCTTCACTCCATTTTTTGTCGGAGAAAAGAATTATCCCCCTCTCATGCGTTTCCCTTTCCCCCTCTCTTCTCCCTCTTCTTCACAAACCGATCCCTAAACCAGCAACAACAACACAAAAATAGCCTTCGCCTCTGCCATCTCCATCTACTGAACGCGTTGGTGGCAAGACAGGACTGCAGAAGGAAAATTTTCTAAAATCAAACTAAATTTTTTGAAGGAGACTCAACCACGAAAAAAGAGTAAAGCAACAATGCTAATAGTTCAGATGGTTGGTTTTGATGTTATACGTTGCTTTTGTTATGGTCTCCAGTATATCAACTGCAACAGAGATGTTTCCTCCAATCATCTTTAGTGCACAATTTAGAAGTAAGTCCTCTTGCTTGTGTCAAACGGAAACATTCATGGGTTCTTAACTCCCCTGCTAGTGTAAATGCAGCAGCAAAGAAGTTTGACAACACAGCAAGCACCCATGCAAAATGATACAATGCAGTAGGTGATATGTGTCTCGAAGGTTTTGAGTTACTAAAGTTCATGTTAAAAATAAACATGAATTAAAATGGATTATTCTATTAAGCAAACATCCCCTCTAATCATACAAAGATCATATATCCAATTCACAAACAATTAAGCCACAAAAAATCATCACACATCCACCACCTTTGATTGCCTAAATTTGGTTTTTCGCAAAGTTATGGACTCTTAAGGGTAACGTTCATGGGTAGTCTGTTTCATAACTCTAGAGAGCACAGTAAGCAGCCACCAGCCAGACACAGTGCGGTAGGCGAATATGATTCTCAATTCACAATTTCTCACCACCGGAAGTAAGAACAGACCATAATAAGCGTAGCGTTCATGGGTGGTCTGTTTCATAGCACTACTACACAATTTGTTAAAAAAGAAAGAAAGGTATTTAGCATCACGGCGGAACAACTTTTACAGGGCAACAACGACAACATGCTGCAACCACCAGAACTGGTATCACAACTCATAGGGAAAAAGATTTACTCTCAAATTAAGTAGTTGTAACATCGAGCGATCGTCAAGCACATACACCATCACAAAAGTCACGGAACCTGATTCACAAAGCATTCAAACATTTGAGGACATTTCTGCAAAGGTACAACTTATATGTCTTTTTTCCAAGCCATTTCCATCAACATGCTAATAAATTTGCAATGCATAAAACAAACGGGCCAAAACTTGAAATTCAGCATGTTTGACCGACCCATGCCAAATTCTAATTATTCTTTACTTTTAGACTTTCTATTTGAAAATAAAAAATAGTGAAAGAAAAAAGACGACTACAATTCGCCATTTGCACATCACTTATTCGGGAATAAAACCATAGAAATACAAAAGGAACTGAAAATGTTTAGGATCATTTTAATGTTTAAAATAACCAAATAGATCTTTATGTTTAGTTTTTTACTAACAAATACCAAACGATTCCCTATAAAATACACAATAATTTGATCATTATGATGTCAAATAATTATAAAATATATATTTGAAATGATAAAAATTGGACTAATTGGGTTGGTCGAGGTTGAACCATTGAATAACTTTAAAATACATTATATTATAGCCACTGAAATATAAAATAATAGCATAATATATATTATGCCAGAGAAAATAGCTTATTTTAGAATGGCAAACCAATGATGTTCATTTGTTTTACTTGATGGCCAAATCCCATGTAGGTCAGGCCCATTCAACTCTTTTATTTTATGGTTAGCGGTTAGCCCATTAGATACCATGCATTAGTTTATTGTTAAAATTTTTATTTTTAATAAAAAAGAGTATTATTTTTGCCTTTTCATATATATTTTATCACCACGCAGAAATAAAAGGGTATAAAGAAAAAAATTGACACTCCTAGACCCGTTTAAATCCGCATGTGTACGGTAAGTTGGCCCGTTCCACAGAGGAAAGAGAAAAAAATTAACACTCCCTATTCTACCCTTCCTATAAATGGTCCTGGAGCAGGGAATTTGAAATGGGGGAAGAGTTTTCTCCACCCTGCTATTATATGTTTTTAATTTAAAAAGATACAACAAATGTACTTAGTGTGATTGGTTATGATTCTTGCTTTTCTTTAAAATGGTCATGGTTCGAATCTCAGTACATGTCTTTTTAATGAATAAAAAAAAATAATTGTGAAGACCAAAATGTCCTTCCTACTTTCACTCTCGTTGCAGGAAATTTGAAATGGGGCTCCGGTTTTTCCCTTCGGTGTATTATATTATGTGTAGATTGGAGAAGAGGAGGGCGGCCGCCAAATACCGGAAATAACACAAAAAAAAAAAATCACAAAGTTTAGGAAAGAGACCATTCAAATTTTGTGATACAAAACATATGCTTATTTGATTTGATGGAAGCTTTATTAATTTATTTGGAAAAAATAAGCATTTAAAAGGTGTCTCAATCTTGTATTATTTAGGGATAATATCATTATAAATTTTTAAAAATATAGTGAATTGTCATTTTATATCCCAAAGTTTGAATAAAGACAATATCATCCCAAACTATGGGATCAAAATGTAATTTTTGTCACTCTTTTTTTTTTTTGTTCAACTTTAAATGTTGAATAAATGAAGGTCACACTATGTTTGAATTTCCATGATGGTGGCACCTAAGTGTCATCCACCTAAGCACCACCTCATAAGCATGTGTGATATATATTTTTTTTAAATAAAATAATTATATAGTAAAAATATGATTTTTGTGTGTCTTAATGAAGGTTTCAACCTTCAACTCTTTGTAAGCAATTTGTGTGAGGGAAAGATCCTGTCATAAAAAATTATGTAAAAAGAGAAGGAAATGGAGAGAAATAAAAAAAAGGAGGTGAGAATTTGTATCCATCAAATTCTCATTTCCTATTTTAAGAAATTGGAGAAAGTTAATTATGGAAATTTACTTATTAAAACTACACAAGATTCGTTGTCTCTTCCTTTCCCGTAGGGGAGTTTTGTTTGCGTTTAATAATAGCTTCCTATAATTGCATTGATATGACCAAGTATCCTCACCATATCAGTAACTTCTCTAACAAGTAATATCCATCACTCCGAAACAAACCTTATCAATCCAGATCCACTACTAATTTTACTGCTACTCTAACCCATTTCTACTTTTCCTCATCGAGCTCCAGTCTTCTTCGGCTATTTCGCTCAACATTCTAAGCTTCATATCGTCAGGAACACTCAACGCGTGCCTTTCCTTCACTCCCAAATTAAATAAATTTTAATAAGAACTCTAGGTTCACCGCCACCACCACTTTGTAAGAAAAAAAGGGAAAACAGGTAACATGAGAGGGTGTTGGCAGGCTGCGTGAATTTGCCAAGTTTTTTTGCTGATCTCTTCTCTCCCTGCTCCAGGATTCCCCTCCCCCCCTGCGTCCTCAATCTGAAGGACAAATTTTTCTGTTTCCACCGCTTGCCGAGCTGCGTGCAATTCCGAGCACGAAATGGCGAAATCCAGTGCCGACGATGCGGAGCTCCGGCGTGCCTGCGAGGCAGCCATTGAAGGCACGAAACAGAAGGTCGTGATGTCGATCCGCGTCGCCAAGAGCCGAGGTGTCTGGGGCAAATCCGGCAAAATGGGCCGGCAGATGGCCAAACCTAGGGTTCTTGCCGTCTCCAGTACGTTCCAATTCCTTCCATTTCCGTCCCTCAACTTATGATTTTGAGCCTCGCATTGTTTATTGCCGCTGTTGCGATAATTCTTGTTCCCCCGGCCAGCGGTGTCTGTGTCGAGTCTGTCGTTGCTTCTAGTGTTGGAAGATGTTGTAGACTGCGAGTATAGTGGGAATTGTGTTAGTGAGACCTTTAGTTTAAAGAGTGGAGAAGCATTAATGTATTTGAGGAGCTCGAAGTCCATTAAGATGGTTGAATTTGCTAGTGTAAAGCTGACGATGAATGTTTCAAGTAAAATTAGTAGTAGCATTTCACCAGGAAGTTCCTCTGTGTGCGATTGTTGGACCAACATTTTGATCTCAAGGAAGAAGAATGGACGATAATCTTTGTGCTCTTTGCTTTTTATTAATGAAAGCTTTTTTTCTCTTTTCCTTATTTCAGCAAAACAAAAGACTACACGAACAAAAGCATTTCTTAGAGTAATGAAGTATTCCAGCGGAGGAGTCCTTGAGGTATTTCCGGTTTCACTTTCTCTCTCATTTATAACAGATGCATATCAATTGTTGAGAATGTGTAGCTGAACATGGTCCTACCAAGTTCATTAACAAGAATAGAAGCAATTGGATTAGGCTCCTTATGTTTTTGTATTTATGCAATAGACATTATGGTCTTTTCTTGAGATAATGTTGTTGACCTTTGTATTTTTTGGAGATTATGTTGTTGAGATTATGGTCCGCTGAATTTGGTGTTTTATAAGTGGATAGAATCCTAGAGTTGTTGCCTGTTATAGTATATAAACAGAGGCACCACTTCATGATCAACTACTAAAATGAGGCACTTGTCTTGTTTTCATCTTCCATCAAACTGGTGCTTGGAAAATAGCTTTTCAATTAGGAGTGTTGAACTTGAAATCCTACGTTTTCTCTCATTTTATCAACAAGAGGGCAGTCAGGGATTGAATAGCAACCCAATAACAAAATCACTTCCTGACAGCAAAGATACTTGTAAACTGCTTCAACAAAGCTGCATAAGAATCATTATGTTCTTGCAAATATTTATGTAGTTTAATTGTACGTTTCTTGCCATAATACAGCCAGCAAAGTTGTATAAACTTAAGCATCTTTCGAAGGTGGAGGTTATAGCCAATGATCCTAGTGGCTGCACATTTACCTTGGTAATGTACATATTTTCTTTTCAATCTAATCCACCTTTAGGCTTTCTAGATTAATATTTGGCTGGATTTAAATGTTGGTTTGCTTTAGAAGGTTGTTAGTTGAATTAGCTAATTTGGAAACGTTCTCTCTTCTTCAAAGTCTGATTATATCCTTCCTTGATTACAGCTTCTAACATAATTTTTTCGCTTCTAGGGATTTGATAACCTTAGAAGCCAGAGTGTCGCTCCACCTCAATGGACTATGCGCAATGTTGATGATAGGTATGCCTTATTGGCAGGAAATATACTTAGCCTTTTCTTAAGAACAAAAAGATTACAAGAGATGCCATCTTATCAAAGGAATTTATTTTTAATTTTCGATTGAAATCTACGTCGCAGGAACCGTCTTTTGTTCTGCATCTTAAATATCTCAAAGGATGTTCTTGGACGACTTCCTAAAGTTGTTGGTATAGATGTCGTGGAAATGGCTCTTTGGGCGAAGGTGTGCATTTTAATTCTCACTTTATATGATCTTGGGTGCTTTCTGTTTTTGTCAATGGTTTGTAAGAGCACTGTTAATGCAGGAAAATACAGGTACTGTCACAAAGCAAAGGGTTCAACACGATGGTCTTGGTGGCCCTGTTTCTGCTCAGGTGGACGAGGGCGAATTGAAAGTTACTGTTGAGAAAGAACTTGTTTCTCAAGCAGAGGAAGAAGACATGGAGGCTCTTCTTGGCACGTAAGTACTTGATCCATTGTTTTATGTCTTCTTCAGTTTAGATGTTTTTGTGTAAACATGGCAAGTGGTGACATGGATTTGATCAAGCAATCAGACTTGAGTCAGTCAGGTTGAAAGTCGAAAGGATGCCTTCATGCCAGTTGCTGAAAGCATGCATACATTGAGTTCACTGATTGTAACTAACATAAAATTGTTGACCTGCATACTTCTGGTATGGTTTAACACATACCTGTGGAGTCATTTTCCAGTCTAGTTGTCCCTCCTGAATTTTGGAGATCCTTGATATAGGTGTAGTCCTTATAACATGTGGTGTTATGCAGTTATGTCATGGGTATTGGGGAAGCTGAGGCATTTTCGGAAAGGTTGAAGCGGGAGCTTCTCGCCTTGGAAGCTGCAAATGTCCATGCCATATTGGAAAGTGAACCTTTGATAGACCAGGTATGTATGTTGTTAACACTGCAGTAGAGTTTGGTTTCGGGTGCTCATGTGGTAGATATACCTTTCAATTGGTGTCTACTGTTATTCTCAACATCCATTTATTTGTTTGTTTGTTGTTTTCTATCCGTACTTATAACTATGATGGTGGCATCTATATCCTGCCCTAGTGATATAGTGTGAAGCTTCTGATTGACTTATGATCTGTGGGTATTTCAGGTGTTGCAAGGCCTTGAGGTGGCAACTATTTGTGTTGAAGATATGGATGAATGGTTATGCATCTTCAATGTAAAACTTAGGCACATGCGAGAAGATATCGAATCAGTGAGCTTTCTTGACATGCTAACTTAGAGAGTTTTTCCTTTAAGTATTGCTGCCTCCTGCATAGTCTCATGTTCGACTATGGCTAATGTGCATTTTTATCAATTCCGTGTTCATGCTCACATTGCATTTCTCATCTCATGTATTGGATTTCTTAAATGAAATCGAAGATTAGCTGCTCCTACATGCCTACAGCTAACCCTTGCTTTCCTTTTCTTTTTCTTTGTGCAAGGCTTTCTACACTACATATATAAGATATTATAGGTTGTGTGTAACTTGTCATGCTAAGATTTTCATGCATGTCAGAAACTGATATTTGGTTATTGGTATAGTTAAATCAAGTGGCGTATCTCATATTCTTATGCTCTTCCTCTCGTGTTTAGATAGAAATCCGCAACAATAAGTTGGAGATGCAGTCTGTAAATAATAAAGCACTGATTGAAGAACTTGATAAACTCGTAGAGCAGCTGCGTGTCCCTTCTGACGTATGTTTGTTAAATAATGTTCATACGTTCTCATTATTGCAATAACATATATGCTCTCCTTTAAATGGGTTCCGTTTGCTTCAGCATGCAGCGTGTCTGACAGGAGGTACATTTGATGAAGCACACATGACTCAAAATATTGAAGCATGCGAATGGTTGACTCGTGCTCTGCAAAGTATGGAAGCACCTAATATTGATTCCAGCTATGCAAACATGCGTTCTGTATGTTTTGTTTCTTTGTCTCTTGTTTTTATATCATCTCATTGGTACTTTGCAGGAACTTGAATGTGCATCTATTTTGTAGCATTTATTCTTGTAATCACACGGTTCTTTTTAAAGCAGTTGTTCGTTGCCTGTGCCTTCTTAGAATTAGGACTGAACTTTATTACAAACACTCTCGTCAATCTGTCTTTGATGTAATGTCCCATTATTCAACATCCTTTCAGGTACGAGAGAAGCGAGGTGAGCTTTTAATACTTAGAGCTACATTTGTCAGAAGGGCATCCGAGTTTCTGAGAAACTACTTTGCAAGTTTGGTTGATTTCATGATAAGTGACAAGAATTACTTCTCTCAGGTATTATGAGCCGAGCTTTTTTATTAGTTTATTTGAGTTTGTTACATAAACTAATAGTCTCTGCTTTAATGTTTGGATGAAACAGCGGGGACAACTGAAAAGGCCAGATCATGCTGATTTACGGTACAAATGCAGGACGTATGCTCGTCTTCTTCAGCATTTGAAGGTTGGCTATCTATTTTCCAACTTTTCCCAATTCTACGCTTGCTATCTATTTTTTTTAGTTTAACAAGTCTATCCTCTTTTTCAGACTCTTGATAAGAATTCCTTGGGCCTGTTGAGGAAAGCATATTGTAGCTCCCTAAACTTGCTTCTTCGTCGGGAGGTCAGCAGATGTGAAAATTTATTGCACTTGGCTTAGACTATATTGTTCTTTGTTAACCATTTTTTGTGATATTATTTAGTGATAGCTATGAACCTATGTTTCCCTGTCTTTTATTTTGTATGTATAGCACAGAGAAAAGTACTGATCATTTGTTAGTTCAATATCCTAACTTAATCTATTTACAGGCACGTGAATTTGCTAATGAGCTACGTGCCAGTACCAAGGCATCAAGAAATCCCACCGTGTGGCTTGAAGCAACCACTGGCTCCAACCAAAATACACAGACTGATACGTCTGCAGTTTCTGATGCATATGCTAAAATGCTCACTATTTTCATCCCACTTCTTGTGGATGAGGTGATAATCTTGTGAATTCACAATGGTGGAGGTAGCCTTTGTCTTTTCCCGTTATTATTATGAGTTTTTTGCATGATTTCATTTGCAGAGTTCATTTTTCGCTCACTTCATGTGCTTTGAGGTCCCTAAACTCGTCCCCCCAGGAGGTTCTGTTAATGGAAATAAAGGTGGAAATTATGATAATGATGCCGATGATGATGATGATGATTTGGGCATTATGGACATTGATGATAATAACAGCAGCGCAGGTATCTTATCAATATCTTCTCTCAAGCCTTTCATCTGTACTTATCTTTTGTTGAACTCTTCAGCTCAGCTTAATCAATTGAATTTGCAGGTATGAGTCCTGCGGATCTTGCAGCTCTGAATGAAGCTCTTCAAGATTTACTAGATGGAATCCAAGTAATGAACATGTTGTTAATTCTAGCATTCCGTTGGACCATCGGAGTGGCTTGGGATTCTTATTAGTAAATATTTTCTAAATGAACTTTTAGGAGGATTTTTATGCTGTTGTTGATTGGGCGTACAAGATCGATCCATTGCGTTGCATATCAATGCATGGGGTTACAGAACGATATCTCTCTGGTCAGAAAGCTGATGCAGCAGGTTTCGTGCGCCTGTTGCTTGGTGATCTAGAATCCAGAATTTCCATGCAGTTCAGTCGTGTATGTTTTTTACTATCTACATGGCCCACCAACCATTGATGTTCCTTCACCGTTCTAGAATTTTTAACTTGTCGGTTTCTGTTGCAGTTTGTCGATGAAGCTTGCCACCTGATTGAAAGAAATGATCGTAACATGCGGCAGAATGGAATCCTATCATACATTCAGAGGTTATTCATTTTTATGAGCTTTATTAAGTTTTTTGTCAAACTACCCCTTTATATCACTATCAGCCTAGGAGAGAAAGGTCAATTAATCCGATTGTCTGGAAATATTTCGCCTTGGTTCAGATAACTTTATTATTCGTGAGTTTGATATGTCCTCATCTGTACAGATTTGCTACTCTAGCTACCCGAATGGAGCAATACATTCAGGGCCAATCTAGAGATTTAGTTGATCAGGCATACACAAAATTTGTAAGTTTGTCTTAGCGATACTCTTCATCTCCTTAATGATGTGTTCTTGCCACTGATTTAACGACTAATGCTTTTTTTTTTCTTGCTGAAATTGTTTGATAGGTGAGCATAATGTTTGTGCAATTGGAGAAGATTGCTCAAACAGATCCGAAATACGCCGATATATTCCTTTTGGAGAACTATGCAGCATTTCAAAACAGGTGGGGCCTTTTCTCTGAATGGTTCCCGCACTTATCCTAAATGACAGAGTATTGCATTCTTGGGTGTTACGTATTTATGCTGATTGGAAGCAGTTGCATCCAGCTTATATGACCTAGCCAATGTAGTCCCAACGTTGGCCAAATTTTATCACCAGGCAAGCGAAGCTTATGAACAAGCATGTACTCGCCATATCAACATGATTATCTACTATGTGAGTTATATTGCTGCCCTTCAACTATGCAAGTTATACACAGGCCAGTCCCTGGGCCTGTGCTGGCCGGCCCCCAGCACAGGGCCTCAGGCCAAATTGGGGGCTTCAAACAGTAGTGTTTATTTGTTTGATCAATAAAAAAACCCACACTAATATAAGAAAGAAAAAAAGAAGAAAGAAAAAGTAAAGTAAATTACCTATTGTCTGGACTAGAATACCTATCTACTAGACTATTACTCCGCCAAGAGGGACAGAGTGACAGAGGCAGCAGGGTAAAAGATTCCTTTTTTGTTGGGCAAATGATATTTTTATTATAAAAATAAAATATTTCCACCAAAAAACTATAAAAGGTTAATTCTACTAATTTATCCGCACAAATACATGCATTGTCCATTACTAGTCATTTCTTTCATTTTTTGAAAGGAACAGTAAGAGCTTATTTAAGTGTTTTAGCAACAATAATCTCCCTTTTATCTAGAGCAACCATAAAAAGAAAGCTTATATAACAATTATTTCCAACACATACTTATTATAAATAATTAGCAACAAAAATATTATATAGTAACTATTTCCAACGAAATACTTATTATAAATAGTTAATAATTGGAACAATTTTTTAGACTCAATAATTCAAAAGCTAAATAATCTTCTTCGAATGTTTTATCTATTATATGATATTTGACTCTTCTGACATTCTTCCCCCAAAACCTATTTAATTCGATTTTTTCAATTAACTAGTTGTCAATTAACTTAATTGTTTTTTTTTTAATTTTCTCTTAATAAAAAAATTCTACTATAATTTATTTCCTATTTTATGAAATTATTAAAATAAAATGTGGGCCTCGTTTATTTTCAAAACAGGGCCTCAAAAAATTCAGGGTCGGCCCTGGTTATACATGCATTTTTTTTATGCCTCGAGCTGATGTATGTTTGTTGAGCTGTAACTCGCTTGTTCGAATTTGGCATCTGCAGCAATTTGAAAGGCTTTTCCAGTATGCTCGAAGGATTGAGGATCTTATGTACACCATAACATCGGAGGAGGTACGTTTTCAAATACACATGAATGCACGTTTTTAAGAATATGTAAACTGGCTAAAATTTTCCATTTCTTCAACAGATTCCTTTTCAGGCGGGACTGTCGAAAATGGATCTGCGGAAGACGATAAAATATAGTTTATCAGGAGTAAGTCGGTCGATTGAGTGCCCTCTTGGAATTGTTTTTGTGAAAGCAGAAATTATAGTTGCCAACTTCTTTGCTTTTCTTGGATGTCAGGTCGACAAGTCTATCAGTGCAATGTACAAAAAGTTGCAGAAGAACTTGACCTCGGAAGAGCTATTGCCTTCTTTGTGGGACAAATTAAAGGTACAACGAATTTCCTGCTCAAAATTTTCGAGTTGATCCATCCAATGCCTTATAATCGTGTATCCACTTATACGCTGCTTGTTGCTCGTCGTGTTTGATTGGTTGCTGGTATTTAACTTGTGCAGAAAGAGTTCCTAGACAAGTACGAGAGCTTTGTACAACTGGTTGCCAAGATCTACCCTAACGAGACCATCCCGGCGGTAGCTGAAATGAGAGAACTCCTGGCTTCCATGTAAAGAATCGTCCCAACTCCATTTTTTGTAAAAGATTAAGAAAGAAAAACATCATTTTTTTTTTGTTTTGTTGTACACTCGATCATGCTCATTCCAAAAAGGGTAAGTGCTTCATTTTTGCTGTAATTATTATTCGATTCTAATATTTCATTCATTGTAGACGTTTGGCTTGGCTCCATTTCATGATTATGAGTCTCAATTTGTATCGAAAGTGGGAGTAGCGCAGCATTAGCCACCTGGGTGTATTAACTTGGAGGTCCTTCGCCTCTCCTTGAGATGTTTACTCTGTTTTGTGCTTTTTCTTTGTTTCTTTATTTATTTATGAATTATTTTTGTGCTTGCCCATTGTGTCTAGGCGATGTAGTTTCTAGTTATATGCTTGCTTTCGTGGGCAATGGGTGGTCGTAGGATCCGACCTGACCTGTTCTATTTGACATGTTTGATTTGTGGGTAAATGTCAAATTTGGTCATTGAAATTACTAACTTGTTTTATGTTTAGTTACTAGAAAAAATTAATATCAATTTTGTTCACTTGAATTACTGAAACATGTCACATTTAGTCACTCTCCGTTAGTCTCTGTCCAACTCCGTTAAAGGAGTCTATTATGTGCTGACATGGCTAATGGGAGCACCTAATCAGCGTCGTTTTGGGCCAAAAATGGTCAAACCCGACCCGCCACTTTACTAAACCTGTCATGCCATACACCCAACCCAACCCGACCCAGAACCAAATCGGAGCCCACTTAACAAACAAAATTGCATCGTCCTAACCCCGTATCGTCGTTCCATTGATATGATCCCAAATGGTCAACTATACACGCTTAAATTACTTGACGAAGAAGCTAACAAAGTTGGGAAGAACAAGGGCAGAATTTGGCTAAGTCAAAATCCGTGTTCACGGTACCTACTTTGGAAGCTTGTATCTCACAAATGGCTCAATGAAAATTGGAGATCAAGGGCTTGTTTTGAAGATAAAATTGCCACCTTTCCAATGGTATGCTTTTATAATTAAGAGGATATCATTAAGTTTTTTTTCCAAGGACTCAAAGTTGCTACCTCAAAACTTGAAAACTGCCAGGAAATTGTTAAGTATAAATTTGTGATCGTGAAGCCTACTTTGGAGTTCAATTCAATGATAATGGATCTGATTCGATACCAAAGGCTTCTACAACATGAAAGTATGAATGTTTATCTACCAAGGGAAGGAATCGGATGAAAGATCGGAGTTCTGGAAGGCCTCAAACGAAAGGCGTAAAGTTAGTACGAAAACTATCTTTTTACAACGCAAATAGAAGACTATTTATAGCCAAGAAAACCTAATACAAACCTTAATTGTTTCATTGTTCATTTAGGTTTGTATTAGGTTTTCTTGGCTATAAATAGCCTTCTATTTGCATTGTAAAAAGACAAACTTTGATTAATCGAAAAACAAACTCTTTGGTTTTGTGCAAGTTGCGACTTGTTTGAGTTTGGTGGATTCCAAGCTTGTGAGCTTTGTATCGATTGAATATTCTCTTCAATCGTCGTTGACCAGCTACCCTTTTATACCATACGAGTTTTCCCAGGTGTGGAATTGTTCGTTGGTTCCGTTTTATCTAATTTTCGTATTAAGAACGCGTTGTTCTTGATTCGAATTTTCAATCAATCTCCGGATTGTTTGTTTGCTGCGTGAATTTGATAAAAAATACACCCACCAGGGTCGTATCAAGTGGTATCAAAGTCTGGTTCTACACAAGGGCGAAGGAGAAGAAGAAATCGATTGTTCCGGTACAAGCAGAATTTGAAATTCAAAACAGGGCAGCTTATGTTCGTGTATTGCAGCTGCTGTTTGTAGTTGAATCACGAGGGCAATTTCGACTCTTCACTAAGAGATGGTGGAGAGCAGTGAAGAGGCAAAGGAGCTGCAAGTTCGTGGTCAAGAGAAGCGGCCAGCAGCTCCAATTCAGCGCCGAGAATCCGACGAGTAGCGAGACAATTTGTTTCACAGTTGATGCAATGTCAAAGGAAAATCACTTGCACTCGTGATCAATGGAGGCTGTTGTTCAAACATTATCAGTCTAGAAGCCGTCCAAAAGCTCGGATTAACGATGCAAAGGCATCCAGAGCCTTACCAACTCGGCTGGATCAATGAGCACGATACGATTAACGTGACGAAACAAGCGTTGGTTCGTTTTCAAATCGGCAGTTACGAAGATGAAGTAATTTGTGATGTTTTTTCGATGAATTATGTTTACTTAATACTGGGTCGGCCTTGGCAATTCGATCGTAAGGTCACACATGATGGTCGAACCAATCGATACAAGTTTGAGCATCACGACAAGAAGATCGTTCTGGTACCCATTTCGTCGGACGACGTTTACGGCGATTTGAAGCATATGGAGGAGAATAGGAATGAGGGAAAGAGCGTACGAGCTCAATTGTGGGTGCAGAGACGTATTGGGCTTGGTTTTCTGAGCTTTCAAAAGCTCTCCAATGCGAAGTTGGTATTGTAACAGGTCACCATCCACGACCCCTGTCTTTCTCGGACAAAACAGAGTTTGGACTCTGGTACCCCTGCCAACAACAAGGAAGAGACGCTGTAGCCCGACGAGGCTTCTGGATCGCTGCGGGAAGGTCAAGGGAAAGTTTCCAAAATGCCAATCGTTCCACTTCAACAGGGAATCGAAGAAGTTGATTCTCCGATCACTTGTTCAGGCACCGACCGACCCTGTTTTTCTTCGACAGATGAGCAGGGCATGAGAGAGAGTGAAAGGGGGAGAGCAATCTGGGTCACGCCAACTGAGACTGGGGGCAGCGACACATTCAGTGAGATGGCGAGAACGTGCCGCACTGGCCAATTGGAGTATGATGTCGGCGAATCAAAAATTCCCAAGTTGGGTTTATCGCAAACGCGAAGGACAATAGGCAGATTCAGGGCGAATTGGTTGCGGAGTATGAAGGTCAATCAACCCAAGAAACCCCTAGGAATAGGTTCTTGGAAGCCCAAGGAAGGTGTAGAACACGAGGAATCGCGACGAAAATGCCAAATTGTAAAACCCCCAATTTTTGTTTTGCGTCGCCGGATTCTGGGTTTCGTACGCCGGAAACTGGAAATTTCAAATACCCTGGTGGCGGGAAATTCATGAGCTTTAAATGGGGGCTCCTTGGACAGCTTTGAGACGCGAAGAGGGTTGTAATCGAACCTTGGCATCGAGACGAACCTAATGGAAGTGATGAATTGGAGCGGAATGGAGTGAGGACGAAAGCCCCAATCTCAACGACCTCACCGGAAAACTAAGAAACGCCGGATTCGAGAAATTTTTTTCCGGAGTTTGAAAATTTGCACGAGCCGATTCTTGGTCAAATTGCATTCAATTCTTGCATAGGTAAGATCCTTTGGATAGCCCTCTTTCGATCCAATTTGGGATCAATTCAGTGTACGGTTTGAGCAACGAAAGGCCAAAGTGTTGAGGCTAACACTTTTTCAAGAGGGAAGGCCTAATATGATACCAAATGGTCAACTATACATGCATAAATTACTTGACAAAGAAGCTAACGAAGTTGGGAAGAAGAAAGACAGAATTTGGCTAAAACAAAATCCGTGTTCATGGTACCTACTTTGGAAGCTTGTACCTCACAAATGGCTCAATGAAAATTGGAGATCAATGGTTTGTTTTGAAGATAACATTTCCACCTGTCCAATGGTATGCTTTTTGAATCCAGAAGATATCATTAAGGTTGTTTTCCAATGCCTCAAAGTTGCTACCTCAAAACTGAAAAACTGCCAGGAAATTGTTAAGTATAAATCTGTGATCGTGAAGCCTAATTTGGAGCTCAATTCAAGGAGCATGGATCTGATTCGAGACCAAAGGTTCTACAACATGAAATTAGGAATATTTATCTACCAAGTGAAGGGATAGGATGAAAGATCGGAGTTTTGGAAGGCCTCGAACGAAAGGCGTAAAGTTAGTACGAAAGCTGCTTTTGGACTGTTGCTGGCAGCTTGCTTAGTACGAAATCAGTCCTTATTAGAATAGAACTTTACCTTAATTGTTTCATTTTTCATTTAGGTTTTATTAGGTTTTCTTGGCTATAAATAGCCTTCTATTTGCATTGTGAAAAGACAGACTTTGATTGATCGAAAACAAACCCTTTGGTTTTGTGCAGGTTGCGACTTGTTTGAGTTTGGTGGATTTCAAGCTTGTGAGCTTTGTATCGATTGAATATTCTCTTCAATCGTGGTCGAGCAGCTACCCTTTTATACTATACGATCTTTCCCCATGTGTGGAATTGTCTGTTGGTTCCGTTTTTATCCAATTTTTGTATTAATAACGCGTTGTTCTTGATTCGAATTTTCAATCAATCTCCAGATTGATTGTTTGCTACGTGAATTTGATAAAAATACACCCATCAGGGTCGTATCATCCATTCTCTCCGTTCTCTCTCTCTCTATACAGGATACAGGGGAAATTTAAATTATAGGAAGGAAACAAAATGGGTGGAAAGATTGCCATTGTGGGCTAATTACATGGGTTTTGATTAATAGATCGGGTTATGGAAGAATATGCAGATCGGTATGAAGATTCCACCGCCCCCAGCAGCGGAAATGCCAACCACCGTCTCGTCGCGTATGGCCTCCGATCCCTCACCCACCACTTAAGCCCTAGTTCTCCCCCGCGCCGCTTGTGAGAATCATTGTATTGGCTGCCGCCGCCATGGAAACCAACCAAATCTTAGAAACCCCATTCTTGATTGGACCTCCGGGGTATAATTTCGCCACCAAATTGCTCTGTTTCGCCAAATCGATGAACATAAATCGCAGATCAACCTCGACAACCGCCCGTTACAAACCCTAAACCCCCAAATCATCGACACGACTCAAGAAGTACATGGATTGCAGCTGCAATGGTTGTGTGGATTTTCCGAAGGGGTTTCTCGAAGGAGAAGTGGTGCGAGAGGATGATAGGGTTTGGGTTTTGCGGGGGATAATTTGGAGAAGACGCCATTGATGAAGCTCTAGCTCTGCTGTGGAAGCACGATGAGAATTGGGAGATGAGGGTCGATGAGAGAGATGGGTTCATGGAGTTGTGGTGGAAAGGGTGGCCGGTCTCTTTCTGCTCGCTTTGGAAGTTGGAAGAAGTCGGCGACGACGAGGAATGAATGTGTTGGGGTAGCAAATTGAAGAACATAAACTAAAATGGTGGAAGTGGGCTCGAGTTTGGGTTTTGGTTGGGTTGGGTTCATAGGTTGGGTTGGGTGTATGACATGACATGTTTAGTGACGTGGCGGGCATTTCTGGAGAAAATCTTCAGTACACCGGGTGCATAGCCCACGTGGTGCACCGCCCTAATTACCCTTTGACACGTTTCTATCTATTT